TATACCGCATTCACCCGAAGAAGGGCCTCGGCCCAGACGGCATCAGCGCGTCCATTTGGCGAGCCGGTGGAGAGGCCGCGCTGGACATGGTGATCCCGTTGTTCGATATTTCGTTCACTGCCGCCCAGGCCCCCATCGCGATGAAGGGGGGGAAGCTCTGGGACATCTGGAAGCAGAAGGGCGACCCTGCGGTGTGCGGCAACAGCCGCGGCATCCTCGTCTCCGACCATCTATCCAAGTGGTACTGCATGTCGATCGCCGAGCCCGTCTTCCCAGCGGTTCCTAACGCCCTTGGTCCGGCGCAGTGTGGTTCCATGCCGGGGAGGGATGCCACGCTTCTCACCACGGCCATCCAAACGTTCATCGAGCGTGCCCTCCACCAGCGGCGGTCTTGGGCACTGCTCTTCCTGGATTTGGCTAAGGCTTTCGACTCCATCATCCGCGAGTACCTCTACGGCGTCGGCCGTGGCAAGCTCTCGGACCTCTCCGCGGACCTGCAGCGAGCTGGCATCCCCGCGCTTGTCGCGCAGGAGGCCTAGACATACCTCGAGACGCACCCGCCTCTACTGGAGCAGGCGGGCATGACGCCAGAGGATGTCCGGCAGATCGCCGACTGGCATACTGGCACCTGGTTCGCCGTCCGTGGGGCGGAGCATGATGTGGTCCTCGCTCGCCGCGGGGCCCGCCAAGGTTGTCGGTTGGGCGCGCTTTGCTTTAATTTGGCCTACGAGCTTGCACTGGGCCGCGCACGACAACGGTTCCGGGAAGCCGGCATCACCCTCGAGCTTCGGACCCCGAAGCACGTAGCTATCCCCTGGGCAACCGCCCTCAACTCCAGGGAGGACCTCCACGAGACCACAAACACCGACGTCGACGGCGAGTACGTCGATGACGCCGTCTTCGCCTTCCTCGAGACGGAGCACGGCGGGCCCCAGCAGGTGCTGGACCAGCTCGGCATGGCCACGGACATCCTGGTCCACGAGTTCGCGCGCCTCGGTCTCACAATAAATTTCGGTCCAGGGGAGTCCGCCGCCATGGTCAAGCTTTTCGGCAACGGCTCCAGGAAGCTCCACCAGAGCGCACTCCTGGAGAACGGACGCGAGCAGTTCACCTCCCCGGGCGGCTTCGCCCTGGAGATCGTTCACCACTTCACCCACCTGGGCACGATCCACCAGGACGCTGGAGCCCACCAGGATCAAGCTCGCCAACTCTCTCGTGCTCTCGCGCAGCCTGTTTGCAGTGGCGGCATGGCGAGGTCAGCTCGACAGAGGATGGCTCCCGCTGGAGGCCCAGTACCACCGAGTGCTTCGCCGCATTCACGGCACCATGCGCTTCGGGGCCCCCGGCACGCCGACGGACCTCGAGGTGAGGACCGCGCTGCAGGCCCCACCGCTCGCCTCATTGGTGCGGGCGCAGCGTCTTGCAGGCCTTGGCTCGCAGCTGCAGGCGCCGCCGCTGGTGATGCGCTGCATTGCCGCCGTGCCCAAGCCCGCGTCTGCCACCCATGACCTGACGGACCTCAGGCATCTGGCAGCCGCATTTCCGGCGGAAACGCAGGCCCTCGGAGACCCATTTCATTTTCCAGCCGCCTGGCGCGAGTTCATCCTATCGGAGCCCGCGAGATGGAGGCGGCTTTGTCACGCATTCCGCGCATGCCCTTGCGAGGCCCCGCAGTCTTAGGCGGCCATGCGCCGGCGGCGAGGGAAGCAACCTGCCCCGCTTGGGCGGGTGACCGCGCCGGTCCCGACTCTGACATGCCCTGACTGCCAGAAGGAATGCCGCGACCCCAAAGGCCTGGCCGCTCACAGGAGGCACGCGCACGGCATAAAAATGCAGGCGCGGTTTCACATCCTTGGCACGGAGTGTCCAGCCTGCTCCAAGGATTTCTATACGCGCCCCCGCGCGCTCCACCACCTCCAATTCTCCAGCAAGCAATGCAGAGCCCGGATGATGCAGGGAGACCTTCCTGCCTTCTCGGCTTCCCAGGTCGCCGAAGCCGACAGGGCCGACGCGGCGTCCAACCGCGGCCGCACAGCGAGGGGCGAAACGCGCACTCGCGCTCTCTGCCCGACGCGCCCCGCAGCAGAGTTGCAGCCCGCGGATGCTTCGTCAAGGGGACCGTCCGCATAGCGTCACCCAGCGCGGGCAGGGAAGTCCGAAAATTTGTTGAGAATTCGTTGACTTCCCGGCCAGGCCGGAGACCATTCCATATTCATTTCAGCGCCCTGCACAGGCGCCTCCAAATCTAGCGCCCCTGGTCGTCGCCCTCAGCTCTTGTTATTTTCCCAGATTGGGAGCCGGAGGTTTTCCACCCACGTGGTGGTTTTTCCCATCCGCCTGCGCTTTCTCACCGAGCCAGCGCACCCTGCAGGCCCCGCACTGCGTTGCCAGCAACCTTGCCTACGTGCTCCAGGTTCGCCTTCAGCCGCCTCGAATCATCATCATCAGCATCATCATCATCCTCATCATCATCAGAATCATCATCAGAATCATCATCATCATCATCATCATCATCATCATCAGCAGCAGCAGCAGCAGCAGCATCAATATCAGAAGCAGCAGAAGCATCGTCACCACCACCATCATCATAATCGTCATCATCATCAGCATCATCATCCGCAGCATCAGCATCAGCATCACCATCATCATCTTCAACAGCATCATCATCATCATCAGCATCATCATCAGCATCATAATCATCATCATCATCATCATCAGCAGCAGCAGCAGCATCTTCAACAGCAGCATCCTCAACAGCAGCATCACCATCAGCACCATCATCGTCATCATTGTCATCGTCGTCGTCATCATCATCACCCTCATCATCATCATAATCAGCATCATCAGCAGCATCATCAGCATCAACAACATCACCCTCGTCAACATCATCATCAGCATCATCATCAGCAGCAGCATCGTCACCACCATCATCATCAGCATCATCATCGTCATCATCAGCAGCAGCAGTAGCATCATCATCACCACCATCATCATCAAAATCCATATCATCGTCAGCACCAGCATCATCATGTTCGCCATCACCATTAGCATCGTCATTATCATCATCATCCTCATCATCATCAGCATCATCATCACCATCATCACCAGCAGCATCAGCATCACATCACCATCTATCCCTGGCTCTCTCCCCCTTTCCCTCCTCATCATATTTCTCCACCTTTCCTCCTCCACCTCCTCCTCCTGCTCATCATCAGCATCAACAACATCATCCTCATCGGCATCATCATCAGCAGAATCATCAGCCGCAGCAGCATCAGAGTCGTCGTCATCAACGTCGTCTCTTCATCATAATCAGGATCATCATCAGCATCATCAGCAGCATCATCGTCATCACCATCGTCATCGTCATCGTCATCGTTATCAGCATCAGCATCATCATCATCACCATCATCATCATCATCATCAGTATCATCCTCATCATGTTCCTAATCACCAGCAGCATTAACAACCTTATCCTCATCAGCATCATGCTCAGCAGCATCATGAGCCGCAGCATCATCAGAGTTGCCATCGTCATCGTCATCATCAGCATTATCATCAGCAGCAGCATCATCATCAGCAGCAGCATCATCATCATCAGCAGCAGCATCATCAGATTCAGTATCATCATCATCAGCAGCAGCAGCATCATCATCATCCTGATCAGCATCATCAACATAATCAGCAGCATCAATAACATCACCCTCATCAACAGCATCATCATCAGAATCCGCATCATCATCAGTATCATCACCATCAGTAGCAGCATCGTCACCACCATCATCACCAGTAGCATCATCATCAGCATCATCATCACCATCATTATCAGCAGCAGCAGCATCATCAGCTCCACCATCATCATCAAAAGTCATCATCATCAGCATCATCATCATCATCGTCAACACCAGCATTATCATGTTTGCCATCACTATCCGCATCGTCATCCGCATCATCATCATCATCATCATCATCAGCATCATCATCATCATCATCATCATGATCATCATCATCATCATCATCATCATCATCATCATCATCATCATCATCATCATATTCCTCATCATCATCAGCAGCATCATCACCATCATCAGCAGCATCAATATCACCATCTATTCCTGGCTGTCTCCCCCTTTCCCTCCTCATCATGTTTCCCCACCTTTCCTCCTCCACCTCTTTCTCCTGCTCATCATCAGCATCAGCACTATCATCCTCAGCTGCATCAGCATCATCATTAGCAGCAGCAGCAGCAGCATCAGCCGCAGCATCATCAGAGTCGTCGTCATTATCGTCATCATCATCATCACAATCAGCATCATCATCATCAGCATCATCGTCATCACCATCGCCGTCATCGTCATCATCATCAGCATCATCAGCATCATCACTATCATGATCATCCTCATCGTGTTCCTAATCATCATCAGCAGCAGCATCATCCTCATCTCCCCTCTTATTAGTCATCCGTCCCCTTCTCTTGGCACCCAATGTGAATCCACGTCCGTCAAGCGTCCACTCCTCAACCCCTTCATCCACCCCGCGTTCTCTCTCTCTTTCTCTCCCATCTCTGTTCCCTCCTTCTCCCCCATCCCTCTCTCCCTCATGTCCTAAGCTCTCCCTTCACCCACGATCAAAGTTTCGCCATAAGAAGCCTTGAATGGGGAACGATTCCCCACGTGGGCCCCAGTTGCGCCCAGATGCACCCGAAGCACCCCAGTAAAGTAGGAAAAACGGACCTGCGGAACCCCGAACCCCTTGCGAAACCAGAGCGGACACACGTCTAAACTGGAATCTCCCTCCTCCTTCCCTCGGCCCTACCCTCCCGTCCCCCTCCCCGCCCCCCGTTCGCTCACACCTGCTCCCCTTCGGCGCTGCCCTGCTCGACTACTCTTCCCCCCTGTCCCTCCCTTCAGGTCTCCCTCCCCCCCCCCTTCCGCTCCCCCCCGTCCCCCCCCTGGCCTTCTGCTCCCATCCCCATCCCCTTAGCCCGTGCCCAGCAGATCCTGAAGTGCCCGCAGCGTCTGCAGGACTTCCGACGCCTGCACTCCGAGGATGTCGTTGAGCACCTCCCACGAGACCTCCATGACCCCTACGGCCTCCCTGGCCTTTTCGTACAGAGGGCAGATGCCGCGGCGCACCTCCTCGCAGCAGGCGGAAACAGAGGAGGAATCAAGGAGAGGGGGGAGGCAGAGATGGGAGGGATGGGACAGGCTGCAGGGCTGAGAGGGATGGAGTGAGCGAGGTGGAGAGGGGGGGGGGACGCGGCCGGGGGGGGAGGGTCCGGACGGCCACGATCAGGGTAAAGGCGAGACTGAGGGCGACGCCGATGCGAGGGCGACGATGAGGGCGACGGAGGGGGCGAGGACTAGAATGAGTCGAGAAAAATGGCGAGGGCGAGGCGTCAGGCAAAGCCGAAAGCATGGACGCGAGCGAAGACGAGGGTGATGGCGAGCGCAAGGGCGGGTGCGAGTCTGAGAGCGAGGGTAAGGCTGCGGCGGCGAGGAGCGAGGAGGACAATCCTTTAGCGCGTCCTCGCCGAAACAGCCCGCGATGGTCTCCAGCAGCTCGCCCAGCGAGTCGGCGGCCCTGCTCTCGGGCCTGTGCATCAGCCTCGCCTGCAGAATGCCCACGAAGCTGAGGCCCGTCGCCAGCGCGCGCGTGAATTCGTCCAGGCAGTCCAGCAAATCCTGCTCGTCCACCATGCCCTCCATGAGCTCCAGCGACTGGCACGCCAGCGTCAGCGTCGCCTCGCTGGTGACCGCCTCGCTCTGCAGCGAGTCGAGCTCGTACCTTGGGACGCGAACAGGTGCACTGGTCCACCTTCTCATCCTCCTCCTCCTCCTCTTCCTCCTCCTCCTCCTTGCTTCCACCTCCTCCTCCTCCTCCTCCTCCTTCTCCTCCTCCTCCTCCTCGGATTGGTGCCATCATTTCTGGGAGGGGGGAGGGGGGAGGAGCGAGGTGGATCTGCATGGTCGTCCTCCTCGGAGCACCTGGCCGAGATCTGGCTTGTGAAAGACTTGGTCAGCCTGTTCAGGTTCAGCTGGGCCCTCGCAACTTCCCTTAAGAGGTGGCCAGCAGTGGCGCGCAGCCTGGGGACGCGCGTCAGCTCGCTGCCAGGATCGCCCACGGTATCGAGAAAGGCTCGCCTCGCCTCCTCGGCCATGCCCCTGATGTTGCTCGTGTACACGTCCGCCCGCCTGGCGTATGAAGTAATGGGTATGAGCTCGTCCGATTGCAGGACGTCCTTTGGACGCTCGCGTACGGGGGAACGAGGACGAGGAGGCGATCAACGAGGGCGAGGAGAGGAGAAGCATGGAGAGGAGAGAAAAGTGGAGGAGAAAGAGGAGCGAGAGGAGGATGAAAGAAACGAGCCAGAGAAGTAGGAGCAGCTGCAGCAGCAAAAGTTCCTCCGTATCCTCCGTCACTTCCTCAGCTCCTCCTCCTCCTTCCTCTTTCGCTCCCGAGTGCTCCCCTGAGGGGCTCCACAACGGCTGGGGGGACACACAGTGCAACAGCTTGGAAAGACGTTGGCCCAACGTTTGGCCGCATGGACGCCTGCACAAAGGCAATGGGGCGGCGGTGGTTCGCCGCAGGTGTCCTCAATTACGCTAAGCATGCCTCCAATGAGGCCCCACGTCCGCCAATGACGGCCTCAAGCGTCCACGAAGCTTCCTCCTCCTTCTCCTCCATCTCTCTGCCCCACTTCCGTCCCCAGCATTACGTGGTCTCCTCTACCCTCACTCCCCATCCTCCGCCTCCGCCTCTTGACAGAAACCAGCAGGATCCCCAGAAAACGCAATCCGCCAGAGTGACCCCTGGCACGTTGAGGCGTGGAAGAATGCCAAATGTTAGGTCGGGCATGTCCCCCTACAGGCGGATTTTGGACGGAAAATTCAAAATGTCCAAAAAATACTCCGAAATGGTCGAAAATGAGGGAAACAAAAGAAGTCCACGGACGATTTGTTTCCCCCAACAGCTTGCTGAACGGGGTGCTGTTGTGATAGAAGCTAACTCCGGCCGAGGGAATTCAAAGTAGAGACGTCCTCAAAAAAATGTGGTGCTCCGGGCCGTTTCGCCTGAGACATCCTCGCAACTCTCGTTTCTGAGTTGTCCGAGATTGGGCGTTTCGCGTGAGACATCCTCCAAACACTGAGTTCCCAGATGCCGCGCAAGAGGTGGTCCGGCCCGTTTCGCCTGAGACATCCTCGAAACTCTGAGCTCCCAGTTGCCGCGCGAGAGGTGGTCCGGCCCGTATCGCCTGAGACATCCTCCAAACTCTGAGCTCCCAAATGCCGCGCGAGAGGTGGTCCGGCCTGTATCGCCTGAGACATCCTCCAAACTCTGAGCTCTGAGATGCCATGCGCGAGGTGGTCCGGCGCGTTTCGCCTGAGACATCCTCGCAACTCTGAGTTCTGAGATGCCGCGCGAGAAATGGTCCGGTCCGTTTCGTCTGAGACGTCCTCGAAACTCTAGGCTCCGAGATGCCGCGCAAAAGGTGGTCCGGCCCGTTTCGCCTGAGACATCCTCCAAACTCTGAGCCCTGATATGTCGTGCGCGAGGTGGTCCAGCCCGTTTTGCTTGAGACATCCTCCAAACTCTGCGCTCTCTAATGCCGCGCGAGAGGTGGCCCGGCCCGTTTCGCTTGAGACATCCTCCAAACTCTGAGCCCCGAGATGCCGCGCAAGAGGTGGTCCAGCCCGTTTCGTCTGAGACGTCCTTGCACTTTTGCATTCCGAGATGCGAGAGGTGGTCTGGCCCGTTTCGTCTGAGACATCCTCGAAACTCTAACTCGGAGATGCCGCGCGCGAGGTGGTCTGGCCCGTTTCGCCTGAGACATCCTCGAAACTCTGAGCTCTGAGCTGCCGCGCAAGAGGTGGTCCAGCCCATTTCGCCTGAGACATCGTCGCAACTCTGACCTCGGAGATGCCGCGCGCGACGTGGTCCAGCCCGTTTCGCCTGAGACATCCTCGCAACTCTGAGCTCTGAGATGCCGTGCGCGAGGTGGTCCGGCCCGTCTCGCCTGAGACATCCTCGCAACTCTGAGCTCTGAGATGCCGTGCGCAAGGTGGTCCGGCCCGTTTCGCAAAGACATTCTCGCAACTCTGAGCTCCCAGATGCCGCGCAAGAGGTGGTCCAGCCTGGGGGCCCAGAAGACCATATGTTACATATCCCCCCTGGGACCCTGGGAGCCCCAGGAGGCCCCAGAGAGCTTCAGGAGGCCGCAGGACGCCCAGGACAGGCCCCAGGGGTCCCCAGGAGATTCCCAGGAACCTCCCAGGAGGCCCCAGGAGGCCCCCTATCATAACGTGTCAAGTTAATACACATCCGGTGTCGATTTGTTGATTTTTCCTGCTTTTGTGGGCCCCCATTTGAGGGGGCCCCCACGGCCACATGTGATATATCGCCCCCTGGGAGCCCCAAGAGGCTTGAGGAAGCCCCAGGTAAGGTCCCGGAGGCCACAGGAGGCCCAGGAGGAAGCCCCAGGAGGTCCCCAGGAGGCCCCAAGAGGCCCCATGAGGCCCCCGCAACTCGGAGCTCTGAGACGCCGCGCTCGAGGTGGCCCGGCCCGTTTCGCCTGAGCCTTCCTCGCAGCACGTTTCGCCCGAGACATCGTCGCAACTCTGGGGTCCGAGATGCCGCGCGCGAGGTGGTCCAGCCCGTTACGCTGGAGACATCTTCGCAACTCTGGGCTCCGAGATGCCGTTCGGGATGAAGAGGAGGTGGAGGAGGAGGAGGAGGAGGAGGAGGAGAAGGAGGAGATGGAAGGGAGAAAGAGGAGGAGGATGATGTGGATGAGGGAGCAGGCAGGAGGGGGAGGGGGAGGAGGAGGAGGAGGAGGAGGAGGAGGAGGAGGAGGAGGAGGAGGAGGAGGAGGAGGAGGAGGAGGGAAAAGGAAGGGAAATGCAGGAGAGGACCTAACGGGAAGCGAGTGTGACGTCGACTTGTCAGAACGTGTGCGAGAGGTTGTGCGAGAACGTTGTGCGAGAGGTTGATCGGGCACGCAATCGACCTTGGAAACCGCAGTGGATTTAAAAAACGTGTTTGGGGATACTGCACTCCGGCTAGAATTAACTGTTTTAGAATATTCCTCCTGTAGAGGGACAGGCCCGACTTAAGCCAAGTGCTGGCTGGTAAGGTTCCTGCCACCGTCTGAGGGGGCCCCACCCCGAGGGGCGCGCCAAGGTGCGCGCATCGCCCCCTGTCCCCGAGGACGCTATCCCCTGCACGATACGACGGGATCGCACTCTGGAGGCCACTACCCCTCGTAAAATGCAGCCACTTCGCGCTCCCGAGGCCAAGGTGCCTCCAAGACGGACCAAGATGGCTCAAAGACGGCATACATCGACCTCAAGACGGCCCAAGGCGGCCTCGAGACGGTCCAAGAGGCACCCGAGACGCCTCGAGAGAGCATCAAGAGAGTTCCCAAGAGGACCTCGGGAGGCAGAATCAACGATTGCCCTATCGGATTTTATAATGTGTTTGGGGTTCTCGCCTTCTCGAGCTTCCGACGTCCCAAAACAGCCCAAGAGGCCCCCACGACAGTCCCAAGACGGCCGAAGAGGATCCCAAGAAGGCCCCAAGACGGCCTTAACGGGCTCGAAGACGGCCCAACAAAAGGCACCCAAGACTGTCCCAGAGGGGCCCCAGAACGGCACCAAAAAAGGCCCAAGAGGGCCCCAACACGGCCCAAGAGGGCCCACGGGAGCCCCCAAGACTGCCTCACAGGAGGCCAAGACAGCCACCCGACGGCCCAAACGAGTTCCATGAGGACTCCGCACCTAGTGAAGAAGACAGGTGTCACATGTGACGGCCTTCCTCTTCATCCTGCTCCTCCTGCTCCTCCCCCTCCTCCTTCTCCTCCTCCTCCTCCTCCTCCTCCTCCTCCCCCTCCTCCTCCCCCTCCTCCTTCTCCTCCTCCTTCTCCTCCTCCTCTTCCTCCTCCAACTCTTCCTCCTCCTCCTCCTCCTCCTCCTCCTCCTCCTCCTGCTCCTGCTCCTCCTTC